ACACACACACACACACACACATACACACACACTCACACACACTTTTTTTTTTCCTCCAATGTAAAAAAATGAGGTTGTTTATTTACTTTTATTAGATTTCAAGAGTTCTTTATAGATTCTGGATAAGCCCTATATCGGATACAGATTTTTTTTTCCAGTCTGTGGCTTGTCTTTTTATTCTGCCATAAACCTCTAATGCTTGTTCTTATATTATAGCTTCGATAACAGTATGAAAAATTTATGCATATAATAGTTCCCAAAAGGAGGTCATTCCCCCACCATTCTAAATAAAACTGTAATAGCCAAGTATACACAACCCATTTTTCTGTGATAATACATAAACCAAAAAACCAAACCTATTGCTGTCTAAACAATTCTGACTCATAGTAACCCTTTGTGTTATACAGCGTAGAACTGCTACATAGGGTTTTCTTGGTTGTAATCTTTACAGACACAATCTGCCAGACCTTTATTCCAATGCACCGTTGTATGGGTTCAAACTGCCAACTTTTAGATTGGTAGCTGAGTGTAAATCTTATATATAAAAGTACAAAAATTTAAACGGGAGTGACACACATCAACTTTCAAATAGTAGTTAACTCTGAGGAAGAAGAAACAGAAGGGAAAGGGATGAGGAATAAGGCCTTAACCTACCTACCTGTAGCAAAATTTGATTTGTTTTGTTGTGCTGATAGTCTAGAACAGAGATTGGCAAACTGAGGCCTAGAAGCCAATCTGGCCTGCTGTGTGTTTTGATAAATAAAGTTACAGTATATTGGAACATAGCCACACCCATTCATTTACATACTGTCTATGCTTTCATGATACCCATTGAGGCTGAGTTGATTCCATCTCATAGTAACCCTACAGGACAGAGTAGAACTGCCCTCATAGAGTTTCCAAAGTTATAATCTTTATAGAAGCAGACTTCCACATCTTTGTCCTGTGGAGCAGGTAATGAGTTCAAACTTCTGACCTTTTAGTTAGCAGCTGAGGGCTTAACCACTGTGCTACCAGGGCTTCTTGCTTTCATGATATACTGGCAGAATTAACAGGCAAAAGAGACCAACTGGCCCACAAAACTGAAAATATTTACTATTTGGCTGTTTAAAGAAAGTTTGCTGACCACTGGTGACTTAAAGTGATGGAGTAAACGTTAATAACACAGATTTATCTAAAAAGTGTATTAAAAAGTTTGCTAAGCTTAAATGTATTTATCTGAAAGTGTATTAGGTCTGTAACATAAAAATATTGAGAACACAAGCTCAGTCTTCTAGTTTCAAAAATGATTATCTAATTCATCAAAGAACTTGTTCATGTTGTTGATACATGAGTTAAGTTCCAACTTCATTATTTCATTTGTGCCTTACTTGTGGACGTAAATGAAAATATCAACCAATACTGATGCTGTAACTACACACAGAAAGCAGTTTGTTAACATTTACAAGGAAATGACTATAGGTGATTCATATACATGCTAATGTTCAAAAAATACTGGTATAAATTATTCTTCTCACACAATTCTAATGATAGATATTTTCAGCTGAAGGCTAAAATTAAATGAACGTATGCTTTTAAAAAACATAGGTATATTTTCTATAAACCTAGTGAGAAAAGTAAGTAAAGCCTAGTTAGGAACCTAAGCTAAGCTGACATTTTAATCACAACAAATTTTTCATGTACTTTAATAGATGAACTTCTTCTGTTTTAAAATCTCAAAACATTGCTTTCTTTCATTTTTGTTTGTAAGAAATGATTGGTTTTCCTCTTTAGAGAAAACCAACAGCCAATAGAGAATGAACCTGTTAATATGTTTTATAGAACTGTGTTAATTTGGCCATTTTGAGCTTATTGAATCTGCCAGAAGGAGAATGGGTGGAAGAAATGAGATTACAGTGGTTCAACTAATCAAAAGACAGTAACAAGGTCTGGCAGTACTAGAGCTGATGTTGAAAGCTGCATACTGAGACACTGAACCTGGAACTTGGCCCTGTTTTGGGAGTTAGATTCCGGATTAGACTGAGCTAGTCATGGAGTTAGTTCTCTCCCTTTCTTGGTTTGGGCTGTAGGTCCATAGACCTAGGGGACTTGGAGTTTCAGGTCTTGAGCTTTAGAGGGGCAGGAAAGCATGTCTTTATAGATATTAGAGAATATAAGAACTGCCATTCACTGAAACCCTATTACATACCAGGTAGGTGGTATACTAGGTGATTTCCAACTTCATTCAATTTTTATAATTCTGCAAAGTAGGTCTAATTATCTCCATTTTACCAATAAAGAAACAGAGAGGGATGAAATTAAGTTGCTATACACTTCAGTTTCTTCAGTGTAACATGAGGAAGATCAACAAGATATCCACCTCAACAGACTGTTATCATGATTAAATTAATACACAAAAACCACTCAGAAAACTGCCTGGTACATAGTAAGTATGCAAGATACATTATCTATTATCAGCAAGAGGTAAGCAGGGATTTAAACAGGTCTGTTTCATTCCAAAATGTGTATGATTTTCACATAAAGCTGCCATTGGTTGTTATTAACAAGATTATCAAGATTATCTCATATTTCTTAAATTATCCTACCCCTATTCAGTTTATTCTGTTGGAAAACCAATGTCCTTTCAAATTCATTATTATTTTTTTATATCCCTGAAACCTCAAGAGAGTAATTAGAAGTAAGCTGTGGTTACATCCAGGAGGATTTTTTTTTTTAAATTCTGATCACAAAAAATTGAAAAACTAAGTAAGTCTTAAAAAAGTAGGTTTCTATACACATAAAGTAGTAAGACAGAATATTCCCCCACCTCCAGCTAACTTTTCTATGTGGTGTAACACTTCTATTAAAACTTGAAAGAAGAAAATGAAAGAATCTAATTTCTTCATGCCACAAGGAAAGATTATTTTGGCAGAGAAACTGTGTTGAGATTGTCTCAAGGTACCACTACAGGCATTACAAAACTTCCTTCAACCTTTTTGTTCCCGTAGATACCTTTGGAGATGGACGGTAACTTGAATCAACGCCCCGAGCCAGGGATTCATCAAGCAGTGCTTTTAGCTTTTCAGCAGAATCCTTACTCTTGGAATGTAAGAAACCCAGAGCTTTCAAAAAAATGGGATCAAGTTCCAGATTCACAGTAGCAGCCATTGCAAACACCTGCAGGGGGTGAAAAAAAGAAAGCAATTTAAAAACAACGCTCAATTACTTATGTTAAAGTTTTACTGGGTTCTTTTATTTATAATAGGTAATACTGGGTGCAGCACAACATTCAAAAGATCCAAAAAGTTGTTACAGAGAAAAGTAGATTTCCTTCCTATTCCTGACTGGCATTATTTTGCATTTTTCCCCTGAAATAATCAATGTCATCAGTTTTCTGTGAATCCATATCCACGGTGAAGTTTTAAATCCAGATTAGTTCCTCCTTGCCACAAAAAAGCCCCTTCCTACCTCTGCTTTAAAAGATACATTTAAGTTTCAAGACACATGAACTTGATGTACTTAGGTCAAGTTTACTATATATCAAAATGTCTTCTCTCAAACCTTACTTTCATAACAAAAGCAAAGATTTATTGTGTGAGTGTGGGAGGGAAGGGGTCACAGCAGAGCAATGGTTAGAGGACACATTAAGTGCACTAAATTCTGGGCTATAGAGACCATTTACCTAAACTACTATACCATTTACCTAACTATCTTTTCTACCTCCCTAGTACTCAGCCCCAGTCTTAAATGTCTCAGAAAACATACTAATGATAGCCTTACTTTATCATATTTAGATTGTGGTATCTCGTGCATTAACCTGTTCAAAAAACTAGGCCTTTGAGGGATGGTGCCACATCTATTAAAAAAGTATATATATCCCTTAGGGCCTGTGATAATGCTCTGTGTCCTAAGGAGCTTAAAAAAAAACAGCCGAGGCAGATGAAGATATACATCAAAGGCTTATGAAATTTCAAAACATTAAAAAGTTTTGTTTTCAGTTAATACCAACACCATCATGTGGTTCAACTTCTGGTTGTAACTTTTTCAAATACTTCTCCAGGCAAGGAATTATTAAAATAAAAACGTATTCTTTGTGTTCAATCCTTTGATCAATATACCAGGACCTGAAATCTGTCTTCTATCCTCGAGGTTAATATTATAATAATGCAACACACTTGCACTGCTGTAGCAGAGGGTCTGTCAGCAATTCCACAGTAATCTCCCATTTCTCAGGGGTTTATAAAGCCATTAAAACTTCCTGTAGTTTGGATCTTGGCATATGAAAGCTCAGGCTGAAAACAGATTTTGTTTGCTCCTTCTCCCACTCACTCACCTCCCTCTCTTCTATCTGTAAGTGTGACAGGCAACATAACACATACACACCCATAGGGTTTTTTTCTTAAAGTTTCAGAGAAGGTATTAGATAACCTATTGCCCCAAAATTGTGTCAAATTCTGTAATATATTAAAATATTACCTGAATCACCCATGAAAAGGAGTTCAAAGGCCAATACTAGAGAGAAAATAACCTTATCTCAAATAGTTGTATTAGGAAAAGTTTAACAACAAAAAAGAAGTAATCTCTGTCACTGCTTAAGATTCTATTATTACACACACCATCCATACATATGAGACCAGAAAAGTTATTTTTAAATTTACTTATAAGGCTGGTCATCACACATGTTCTGAGAAGAAAATAGCTCCTCAATAAAATTCCGACAATTAAAAGGAAGGGTTAACCTGCTAATCCTACAGAGTACACCAGGAGAACAGAGCCTGGTCTTTCTGTTGACCTAACTTTATACAGCTAAACAGGATAGTGGTTTACTTAGTCAGAACCATCTCTTTTATGGGGTACTGACCAACAGTTTGGTACTTAGAAGAATCCTGGAATATACGAGAATAACCATTATTTGAAATTTCTATGCTAAAAGAAACAAAATAGCAAGTTTGTCATTTCTATAATCACAGATGAAAGTTTTACATTACTGTTTAGGTGAGGCAAGAACGTAGATTATATGTCCACAGACGTCATGTCATTACCACTAATGTTCCAACTGGAACCTTGGTGTTAGTTCTTTTTATATGATCCTGGAATTAGGAAACATAACTGGCTGTACCCTTGCCCTAATCACTAACATATCCCTCTAGCCCAATGGTGCCAATAGTGGGATGTTGTTGCTGTTGTTGTTTGCCGTGGAGTCGGACCCGACTCATAGCGACCCCTCCTTGGGTTTCCACGGCAGTATCACTATGGAAGTAGATTGTCCCATCTTCCTTCTGAGGAGTGGCTGGTGGGTTTGAACCACCAGCCTCCTGGTTAGCAGTCAAGTGCCTTAGGCACTATGCTACCAGAGCTCCCCCATAGTGGGATACAAGGAGAAAAATATTAGAATTTCTACTTATATTTAATTTTTTTTATTAGAAAAAATATTAATATACAGTGATAATAGTATATGTAAGTATACAAATATGGAAGAGTGCTCAAATTTCTTATAAGGAATAATTCAAAAGAAAAGTTTGGTGGTCACTGCTCTAGCCTACCTAACAACTTTCAGTTTCACTATTACACATAATGGCTGCTTTAAGGTATAATCTACCTTCCCCTTGAAAGTCCCTTCAGCCACGTGGAAGGGAATCTATCTAGGAAATCCTTGATAGATAGAGAGAACAATGTGGAACAAAACTCAAAATCATTTGGAGAAAAAAAAAAGGGGGGGGGGACCAGGTTTGCTGGTCCAATAGAGCTTGGTGGAACCACTGAGACTATGTCTGGTAGCTGCCCTTCAGGTCTGGAATTGAACCCACACCTGTGGTTTCAAGCCAAACAAAAGATAGGCATATGAGTTGAACATTTACCTGAGGTACATTCACTCCTTGGAGAAAACAATCATGGGAGAAAGAAGGGCTGCTTATGCACAAGGAGACAGTTCAGGGGGCAGGAGTGCATGGAGGGTGGACACAGGGAAGAGGTAACTATGGGGAGGAAGTGAGAGGGGAGCTGATGCATTGTGTTAAACTGTGGTCAATGTCATGAGACAAAGTGCATGTGAACTGCTGTATGGAAAGTGAATTGCTCTGTAAACCTTCACCCAAATCACAATTAAAAAAAAAAAATAGAAAAAAAAAGAAAGTCCCTTCAGTACCCTCATTTAGCTCAGCCCTTCGCTCTTTCCACACTAACTTCACTGCTGGCTATCCAGCATCTTCTAGTCCTTACTGTATTCCTAACATATTCTGTTACATTTTCTACTTTTCCCTCAAGTGCTCCTTTACTATCCCCGCAACAATGACACCAACTCACTGGCTACCTTCTCCAACAGTGTTCCTTTGACTTGTTCCTTCTCAAAAGAGCAAAGAGAGGTCCAGAGTCCTTACTCTATTTTGCTGCTTTCAGAAAAACATTCCATGACAACCACTTATCAACATCTCTTAAAATCTGTACCTGTATCTTCCTTGTTACTAAGGTACAGAACATTTACACCAGGCTCCTCTTCCTCCTTCATCATTTTTGATAATTTTAGCATCCACAGAAATCATCCTCTTCAACTTCCTGCACTCAGTCTATTTAGGTCTACAAACCCAAGAGGCCTTGTCTTCAGGCACTGAAATTTGAAGTTTGCCACAACTATTCTCTTCCATCAAACTACCTCTTCCACTGCCCTGAGCCAAGAACTTCTTCAGCGTACCAAGATAATCATTCTCTGTTCATTTCTTTCCTCCCATTCTACCTGCTCTTTGAAATTATAGAGGTTTCCAGTTTCTTGAACCTTCTTCTTTCTTATCAGCACCATCTTGCTGCTACTTCCTTCCCTCACCAAAAAGAAAATAGTAGTGTGGCCTGAAGTGAAACACTCAGGGTTATGTGTTTATCCTTTTATCCTTTATATTTTAGTTTTCTATCTTATTTTCCTCACCAGTCATCTGTTAGTTTGTCGTACTATGGTGGCTAGCATGTTGCTGTGAGGCTGGAGGCTGATGCCATGGGTATTTTGAATACTAGCAGGGTCACCCATGGTGGACAGGTTTCAGCAGAGCTTGCAGACTAAGACAGAGTGGAAGAACGAAGGGGCCATCGCTTCTAAAAAATTAGCCAGTGAAAACCTTAAGAATAGCAGTGAAACACTGTCTATTATTGGAAAACTTTATGAAGAGCTGTGAAACACTGTCTGATACAATGTGGAAGATTAGACACTCAGGCCAATCTTGAGGAAGGCACTCAAAATATGATTGGGGAAGACCTGCCTCCTCAAAGTAGAAATTAAATTCTCACTGACATCAAGTCGTTTCTGACTCATAGTGACCCCTCCTTGGGTTTCCCAGGTGGTATCTTTATGGAAGTAGATTGCCCAGTCCTGCTTCCTAGGAGTGGCTGGTGGGTTTGAACTACCAGCCTTCTGGTTAGCAGTCAAATGCTTTAGGCACTATGCTACCAGGGAAGAGTCAACCTTAATCATGTGGGTGGAGTAAAGCTTTCGGGACATCCATTTGCTAATGAGGCACGACTCAAAATGTAAATAAATAGCTTCCAACAGCCATTAATAATTGGAACATGGAAAGTATGGAGTATGAATATACTTGTTCTGGTTGCCTAGTGTCACTCCGACAGGAATATACCACAAATGGGATGGCCTTAACAAACAGGAGTTTATTCTTAAAATTTGGAGGCTTTAAGTTCAAGTTCAAAGTGCCAGGCTCTAGGGGTTGGGTGAAAGCCCCTCAACCATGGGTTGTAGCTCTGCCTCCTGCGCCTGGCCCACTGAAGTTGGAGGCTTTTCTTCACTCAGTTGCTGGCTGCTGAGGCTGAGAAGCCCCAACTTGACAAGCAAAAAGACACAGTCCCGATGTTACCAACCCACACAGCAGGCCATTACTTAAAGTCCATTGTAGGTCCCAAGGTTGGCAGAGCATGGCAGGCTGCTGAACATGCAGGGTCCCAGCTAGAGACCATTCCCCAAGGCTTCTGCTTACATACAGGAAGCAGACTACATTCCTTAAAGCAGCTACTCAGCTGCTCCCAGTAGATCCACCATGGAGTTGATCGCCAATCTCATCATGGGGAATACTACATCCAGCTGCCCAGACACTCATCCAGGCTCAGCCAAGTTGACACACAAACATACCACCACAATTCCACCCCTTGTCACCTTGGCACCTGTACAGATTTCAATAGG